ATAGATAGAATCCATTATGTAGCTTAACATCTCAGATCTAGGCTAGAAGACTAATCCTCCCTTTCAATTCCCGTGGTCCTTTATCCACAGTCTCTGGTAACTCTGACCACTCTCTAAATTGATACCTGGTGGAAGTGGACAAACCCCTGATGGCTTCTGACCCCTCTAGCTTTTGCCCAGATAAGGCAGACCATGACACTCCAGTAGACATAACGTGGCAGTGATCTTGTCTGGTATTTTCTTCAAAATATGAGTCACTGAATCATAGAATCACTGCTGTAGGGGTGGACAGACCTAAGACCACCTAGCCCAACTCTCCTATTATAAGTAACAGGAAACCGAGGCTCAGGAGGAGAGGTGTTTGCCCAATCCCAGAGTTGGAGGCCAATCTGGAACTAGAACCCAAGACCTTGACTCCCTCTCTAAGGCTCTCTACAGCACCAAGCAGCCTCTGCCCTGAACTCTGGAGGCAGGGCGTGGCCCCCAGCTGAGAGATGGCACAACTAGCACAATGGCACATGTGCTGACCATATGGACAAGGGACTTTAAAGGCACAGAATGTTTTTTTGTGGCTTTACATTTCCTGCCAAGACCTGCTGAGTTGGGTCTACATTTTGCAGCAAACCCAGTTCCAACCATGCCTGGCCGTCTTCAAAATTTCTCCCCAGTTTCTTTCATGTGCTCTCAGAGGAAATAGACACTGGTACAGACTCCACTGCTTTAGGCTCAACCTCCCAAGCCCTGTCCTCTCCCCAGGGGGGCTTCAGGCTCCTGGTGCTATCTCTTGGGCCTCTGAATTATGGTGTGAAGAATAGTGAATATACCATGGACTGCCAGAAGAACAAACAAATCAGTCTTGGAAGAAGTATAGCCAGAATGCTCCTTAGACGTAAGGATAGTGAGACTTCATCCAGTCCCTGGAGAAGATCATCGTGCTTGGTAAAGTAAATAGTCCATGAAAAAGAGGAAGACCCTCAATGAAATAGAGTGACACAGTGGCTGCAAAAATGGGCTGAAACAGCAATGCTTGTGAGGATGGCATAGGACTGGGCAGTGTTTTTTCTGTTGTGCACGGGTTGCTGAGTTGGAACTGACTCGATGGCATCTAAAAACAATGACTGATGATGCTGAGCATCTTTTCATGTGCTTATTGGCCTTCTGTATAGCTTCTATGGAGAATGCATTACTTTTGTGATTCAAAAGAAGTTTGTAATTAAAAGGACAAACAAACTCTTCTCTGACTTGGAAAGATGTCCAGAGCATGTCAATGCAAATTAATTTATTTGTACTTACTTGTTGTTGTTGTTGTTGTTATGTGCTGTCGAGTCAGACCCGACTCATAGAGACCCCTCCTTGGGTTTCCAAGGCAGTATCACTACAGAAGTAGATTGCCCCATCTTCCTTCCGAGGAGTGGCTAGTGGGTTTGAACCGCCAGCCTTCTGGTTAGCAGTCAAGTGCCTTAGCCACTATGCTACCAGAGCTCTCTTGTACTTACTTATATTATTGAAATTTTTACTTTGAACAGGTTTCATTTTTACAAAGATATTAAGCCTAATACAAAAATTTCCTTCCCTGGGTTCCTTCTGCCTTCAAAATAAACAAAAATTTCTCACTCACTTTAACCATTATGCCACCAGGGCACCTTTAGTTTTGACTTTATCCACTGCCACTGAGTTGATTCCAACTCACAGTAACCCCCACAGGGTTTCCAAGGCTGTAAATGTTTATGGAAGCAATGGCCTCATTCTTTCTCCTGTGGAGGTCTGGTGGTTTCAAATTGCTGACCTTTTGGTTAACAGCCCAGTACCTTAACTACTGTGCTACCAGAGCACCTCAGTTTTGACTTTAGAACCTTGTTTATGTTCTAAATTAATGTTTTACATATCCAAAAACTAAATGAAATTAATAGGAATGGGTAGGGAGAGTGAATAAAATGCAAACAAATAACTGAATCAAACTATATTTCAAATAAACAATGGTAAAAAAGGAGAGGAAAAAAAAAAAAAAAACTAATCCAAGTAACACCTTCAATCAATAGCCAGAGAAACCTTAAGCTCTGCCATGGTGGCCACGTATTTGCTTATTCTAGGTGCACTGCTCCGACATGAGAACCAGCTGCTAGCTGCAGTATTTTTTACTGCCTCCAGGTGACACATATTGGGTCCACCCTGGGCTGCTCTCAGATAATGGCTAAGCAGGGCAGTAACATGGGGCCATTCCTGCCCACACAGGTGTCCTCTAACAAGTAGCCTTTTTAGGGGGACTCCCCATCCTCTAGCCAAGTGTCTCAGAACTACACTACAGCTCAGGCTACCTAATCCTCCTTCCTTTCCAATTTCTTTTCACTGACCTGCATTGTAATCTAAAGGTTTTTCCTGTTCCTTCCCCCTTTATCCATTACAGTGTTTCCTTAATCAGTCTCTTGACCATCTAATCCAATTTTGGCATCAGCTTCTCAAGGGACAGGAAGCAAGACATCTTTTTAGTAGTCTTGCTGTTTGTATTGGTGTGAATGTAGCAATTTGGAAATTATTTTTGTGTATTGTAGAACTAACCAAGGGAGCTCTTGTAGCATAGTGGCTAAGGCACTTGACTGCTAACCAGAAGGCTGGTGGTTCAAATCCACCAGCCACTCCTCGGAAGGAAGATGGGGCAATCTACTTCCATAGTGATACTGCCTCGGAAACCCAAAGAGGGGTCGCTATGAGTCGGGTCAGACTCGACGGCACATAACAACAACAACAACAGAACTAACCAAATCAATAAATGTATTTGGGAGTCCTGGTGGCACAATAGTTAAGCTCAGCTGCCAACTGAAAGGTTGGTGGTTTGAATCCACCTAGTGGCTCCCCAGGAGAAAGACCTGGCGATCTGTTCCTGTAAAGAAAACCCTCAGGGACAGTTCCACTCTGTTACACGGGTCATTATGAGTCGGAACTGACTCAACAGCACCTAACAACAACAAAGTTGGGAATCAGGGTTCTCACAGCAGATGAAAGAAACAAATATGGTATGAGGGAAGCAAGGAAGAAGGCTGTTGTTTTGCATTGGAATCGGAGGTCAGTATAAACTCAGATTTATAAATAGCATATGTGTGTGTGTGATGTGCGTATACACACCAAAAATCAAACCAAACAAAAACCCTGTTGTCATCTAGATTCCAACTCAGACTGACCCCCTCTGTTAATAGCACAGTAACTGCTCCGTAGGTTTTCTTTAATTTTTGTGGAAGCAGCTCATCAGGCTTTCTTCTACAGCACCACTTGGGCGGGTTTGAACCCCCAGTCACAAACCACGTGCACCATCCAGGGACCTGTACATACACACACGATACAATTTTAGGAAATGTATACAGGCAATAGATACAGTGAAACCTATGAGAGCTGGAACTTACTGCCTTGATTTTCCTGGTCTCACAAGTTTTCTGCCCTTGACAGGGTATAGTCTTACTGCTTTTCTATTGATAGTTTTAGTGGAAAATATTTGAGTTTTTCTTCTCTGACAGGTTTCTGCCTCACACAGGTTCCAGCTTTTGCAGGTTTTACTGTATAAAGATATAGCTATAATATGTGCATATGTGTGTGTGGTTATATATACATCTTCTAGCTCTGTCCAATGAGAGGCCTAGAAGTAATAATGCCCCATGAGCAATAGGCACATTTCATACCCAGATCCATTAAAAGAAACGAGGTGAAAATATATGTCTACACAGAGACATGAATGCAAATGTTCATTGCAGCATGATTTATAATAATGAAAACCTAGGAACGATGCAAATATCCATCAACTAGTGAATAGACTTTTAAAATGTGGTACATCCAAATAATAGAATACTATCCACTGCCATCAAGTCGGATCTGACTCACAGCGACCCCTCCTTGGGTTTCCAAGGCAGTATCACTATGTAAGTAGATTGCCCAATCTTCCTTCCAAGGAGTGGCTGGTGGGTTTGAACTGCCAGCCTTCTGGTTAGCAGTCAAATGCCTTAGAACTACGCCACCAGAGCTCCTAAAATCAGCATGCAACAATGTGGATGAATCTCAAAAATATTATGCTATGTGAAAGACAACTGGTACAAAAGATTCCACATTATATGATTCCATTTATATGAAAGGTTCAGAAAAAACAAATCTAATGAGACAGAAATCAGTGGTTATTTAGACTAGAGGTAGGTGTGGAATTAACTGCAAATGGTGATGAGGGAACTTTCTGGAATGAAGTGTATGTTCTAACAGCGGTTTGTGGTGATTGCTGTGTAACTCTCTAAATTGAGAAAAACTTCTGATAATTACTTTTGCAACACATGTCCCAATGCTTCCCTTTGTTGTTGTTGTTGTTATGTGCCGTCAAGTCAGACCCGACTCATAGCGACCCCTCCTCGGGTTTCTGAGGCAATATTACTATGGAAGTAGATTGCCCAACCTTCCTTCCGAGGAGTGGCTGGTGGATTTGAACCACCAGCCTTCTGGTTAGCAGTCAAGTGCCTTAGGCACTACTACCAGAGCTCCCATGCTTCCCTTTAGGAACCCTAAACTCACATGATGTACCCATAAAGAGCCTCATGTTTCCAAGCCTTTCCTCAGGCTTTCCTTCAGAAAGGTCTTTTCCTCTCAATCTCCACCTATCACAACATTATTCATTCATGGCCCAGAACAAATGTCACCTCTTCTATGATGCCAGAATCAATTCTCTCCTTCTCTACCCTCTCACTGAACATTCCTGAGAGCCCTCTTTACTCTCATTCTTCCAGCTATGTCTGTGCACAGCTGTCTCCTCACCACAGGACAGTGAGCTCCTTAGGGGCACGGATCTGACCTGATTCTTCCTTAGCACCTAGCACAGCATTAGTATTTGGTCTGTGAATAAATGAATGAATGAGTGGCTAGGAAGAACAAGTGAGACTCAAGTCCATGGAAAAAGTATAGACAGGAAAGCAATTAAATTGTAAACCAGTGACTGCACGTAAGGACAACAATAAAGGCACTGACCCATCTCTTACCTTCAGTAAGCAGCCAGCAAACACCAGGAAGCCTTGTGAATGCAGGTGATTGGCCAAGGAGAACCCAAATCCAGAGTCACAGCCTGTGATCAGGACAGCCTTGCTGCCGACCTGTTTCAAAAGGCCAGACTCCACATTAGCAACCCAGGGTCCTGAAGCCACAGTGTTCTGGCCTCCCCACCCTCTGGGCAGTAACAACTGATGCTTCCTGAATGGCCTGGCCCTTCCTGCTCAGCTCTTGCTGTCTGGAGAAGCACCATGGTGCACCAGGGAAAAAACGGACTCAGAATCAGGAGACCACATTCTGACTCAGACTGCCACCAACTAACAGTGTTGTTCGGGGAAGTTATTTCCCCTTTCTGGATCTTCGTCTCCTCGTTTACAATAACTGTTACCAACACCACCACCACCATCATCATCAAAGCTAACATTTATTGAGTATCTACCATTGCAACGTCCTATTCATATGTTATTCTTATTTAATCCTCACAATTACCCCATAACTAATACTGTTACAGGTGAGGAAACATAGTTTTTTTTTTTTTTTTTTTTTTTTTTAATCCCCAATGTAGTTAGCAATAGAAATGGAATTGAAATCTAGACTGAGAGACTCTAGATTCCCAACTCTTAACCTCTAACTTCACTAAGAAACCTTCTGCAGATTCAGTGTCTTAACCCTCCATAATACTGAGTGTTAAATGAGAAAATGACTCCAACGGTCCTGAAAAGTATAAGCCATGCTCTGAGGGTGGCTTAGAACCTGAGGCCCCTGGGAAGGGCTCAGACCACTCAACTGGTTTCCAGGGAACTGGGCTGCTACTCACCGGGTTCACCTGACCAGCATAAGTACGATGGCTGATGGGAGCAAACGAGTTGGAGGAAAACAGCAGTGTATGGCTGCAAAAGAAAATGCAGCCATGAGCACAGGCTATGGTCACCACCTAGACTTTATTCCTGGGGCAATGCAACTCAGAGGACCCTCAGATGCCACCCAGCCAAAAGCAGCACTGAATGTCTACCTACCACCTTGATGGTACTGCTGTTAAAGTGGTCCTCTCCTCACCAGGGTTACTAGGCTGATAGAAAGGTTTTGGTACAATTCCTATGAAAATCCCCAGCATATGTATTTTTTTATGTAGATATCACTCACCACTCAACTGCCATCAAGTTGGATCCAACTTATTAACGACCACTCCTTGGGTTTCCGAGGCGGTATCACTATGGAAGTAGATTACCCAATCTTCCTTGCAAGGAGTGGCTGGTGGGTTTGAACCACTTATGGTTAGCAAACAAATCCCTTAGGCACTATGCCACCAGAGTTCCCCTATATAGATATAGATAAGCTGCAGTTGCAGCAGCCATCTTTGCCACTGTGTAGGAGGAGGCTTTCTGAGAACAAAGCCCAGCCAAAAGCTACTTTTGTTGGGAGGCCTTGTCAGAACTTGACTATACTTGCCCCACCCCAAGAAAGTTCCATCTTCTGTCTTCCAAGTAAAGAGGGGAAATATTTCAGATTAATTCAAATGTGGACTACCCTTCCAAGTATACAGCTTTATTAAAAAAACCTCTGCAAATTCACGGGGTCTCCATGAATTGGAATGGCAATTAACAAGTTTAACGCTATTTCCTGATAGGTTTTTTTTTTAATTAAACTTTTATTTTGACATATTGTAGATTTACATGCAGTTTTAAGAAATAATACAGAGAAATGCCCTGTTATATTTTACCCAATTTCCCCCAACAGTAACATCTTGTAAAACTGTAATATACTACCAGGATATTGACATTGAGACAGTCAAGATACAGAATACTGCCATCTTCACAAGGGTCCCCCATGTGTCCTTTTATAGCCACACCCACTTCCCTCCATTCCACCCCACTTGTGGTAACCCCTAATCTGTTCTCCATTTCTATAATTCTGTCATTTTGAGAATGTTATATAAATGGAATCATCCAGTATATATGGGATTGGCTTTTTTCACTCAGCACAATTCTTTGGAGATCCATCCAGGTTGTTGTATGTATCAATAGTTCCTTTCTATAGCTGAATAGCACTCCATGGTACAGATGCACCAGAGTTTAGCCCCATTCACTTGCTGAAGGACATTTCGGATGTTTACAGTTTGGGGCTATTATGAATAAAGGTACTATGGGCATTCATGTACAGGTTTTTGAACATAAATTTTTGTATCTCTGAAATAAATGCACAGAAGTATAAATGCAGGATTATATGATGGTTACAATATTTAGCTTTTTAAGAAACTGCCTGTTTTCCAGAGTGGCTATAACAATTTTATATTCCCACCAGCAATGTATCACCCAGTTTCTCTGCACACTCACCAGCATTTAGTATTGTCACTATTTTTTAATTTAGCCATTCTGAAAAGTGTGTAGTGATATTTCATTGTGGTTTTAATTTGCACTTCCCAAATGGCTAATAACACTGATCATCTTTTCACATTCTTTTTTGCCATCTGTATATTCTTTTTTTGGGGGAGCTCTGGTAGTGTAGTGGCTAAGGCACTTGACTGCTAACCAGAAGGCTGGTGGTTCAAACCCACCAGCCACTCCTCGGAAGGAAGGTTGGGCAATCTACTTCTGTAGTGATACTGCCTCAGAAACCCAAAGAGGGGTCGCTATGAGTCGGGTCTGACTCAATGGCACATAGCAACAACAACAACATATTCTTTTTGGCAAAATGTCTCTTTATGTCTTTTGCCTATTTTCTATTTGGAGACTGTCCTTTTATTGTTGAGTATTGAGGGGTTTTTTAATATATATATTCTAGATGCTACTCCTTTGTCATATATGTGATTTTCACATATTTTCTCTCAATCTGTAGCTTGTCTTCATCCTCTAACAGGGTCTTTCACAGAGAACAGATTTCTAATTTTGATAGAGTTTGATTTATCAACTTTTCCTTTTATGGATCATGGTTTTGGCATCATCTAAGAACTCTTTTATTTAGCTCCAGATCCAAAGATTTCCTCCTATGTTTTGCTCTAAAGTTGTACAACCTGTGAGACAGCTCAAAGTTCTTTTCTTTTTTTTTTTTTTGGCTGAAGATGTTCAATTGTTCCAGGACCATTTTTTGAAAATATTATCTTTCCTTCATTGAATTGCTTTTGCACTTTTGTCAAATATCAGTTGTGCATTTCTCTGGGTTTTCTATTCTGTTCCATTGATCTGTGTGTCTGTCTCTCTGAAAATACCACACTCCTGTGTAGATATAAAATAAGTCTGAATTTGAGGAGACTGATTCATCTCACTTTGTTATTTTTCAAAGTTGTTTTACTATTCTATTTCTTTTGCCACTCCAAACAAATTTTAGAATAATTTTATCTATATCTATATAAGGGAGCTCTGGTGGTGTAGTGCCTAAAGCTTTTGACTGCTAACCAGAAGGCTGGAGGTTCAAACTCCTCAGAAGGAAGACTGGACAATCTATTTCCATAGTGATACCACCTAGGAAACTCAAGGAGGGGTAGTTATGAGTCAGATCCAACTTGACAGCAGTTGAGTGAGTGAGTGATATCTACATAAAAAAATATATATGCCGGGGATTTACTAAAACTGTGTAACAACTTGGGGAGAATTGACATCTATTGTGTGAGTCTTCTAATCCATGAACATGGTATGGACTTAGTATGATCTTTGATTTCTTTTATCAGCACTGTATAGTTTCTGGGTGCTCTGGTGGCGTAATACCTAAGGCATTTGACTGCTAACCAGAAGGCTGACAGTTAAAACCCACCAGCCACTCCTTGGAAGGAAGATTGGGCAATCTATTTCCATAGAGATACCACCTCAGAAACCCAAGTAGCGGTTGCTATGAGTCTGAAACGACTTGACACCAGTGAGTTTTTTTTTTTAGTTTCCAGCCTACAAATTGTGTATATGTTTTGTCAGACTACATCTAAATACACCTAAGTCTTTCTTTCTTTCTATTAATTGTACATGATATTATACATTTAATTGTGATGCCCACATGTTCTTGTTGATTTTTTATGTTTATCTTGCATACCTTGAACTCACTTATTAGTTCTAGGAGTTTTTTTTTTTGTAGATTCTTTAGGATTTTCTATGTAGACAATCATATCATCTGCAAATAGAGAAGTTTTGTTTCTTCCTTTCCAATTCACATGCTTTTTACTTCCTTTTTTTACCTTATTGTACCAGCTAGCACTTCTAGCACAATGTTAAATACAAGTGGTGAGAGTAAATATCCTTGCCTTATTCCCAGTCTTAATGGAAAGCATGTTCATTCCTTCACCATTAAGTATCATGGTAGCTGTAGGTTTTTGTAGATGCTCTTTATAAAGCTGAACAAGTTTCTCTCAATGCCTATTTTTCTGAGAGTTTTGATCACAGATGGGTATTGAATTTTGCCTAATGCTTTTTCTGCATTCATAGATATGGTCATGTGATTTTTCTTCTTTGGCCTATTAATATTATGATTATTGATTGATTTTCAAATATTAAGCCATCCTTGCATCCCTTGAAAAACTCCATTTGGTCAAGGTGTATTATTCCTTTAATATCTTGCTAAATCGTATTTGTTAATATTTTTCTATTTTTCATCAATATTTATGAGGGATATTGGTCTGCAGTTGTACTACCTTTGTCTGGCTTTGATATTGAGGTAATATTAGAATCATAAAATGAACTGGGAAGTGTTACTATTGGGTGGGGTGGAGTTCTGGCTTCCCAGTAGCCTCCATTACCTCTTGGTTGGTCTGAGAGTGGTCAGAGTGCCTCATTACTGTTCCTCATATGGGGAGGGATGTGGCCTCATTAGCGCTGGGGGTGGAGAATGTCCTGGGTCTCTGTTATGATAGAATTGTATCCCCCAAAAATATGTGTTGTAAATCCTAACTTCTATGCCTATAGTTGTCAGAAGAGACTCTGAATTGGATGTCAGAAGAGACTCTGAGCCTTGCTCTTGAGTGGAGAGCACGTAAAAGCAAGTGGAAGAAATAACAAAATAAAAGAGCTGAACAGAAGATTTCAAAGGGCAGTTTGAGAAGAAAAAGTAAAGTATTATAATGAAATGTGCAAAGATCTGGAGTTAGAAAACCAAAAGAGAAGAACATGCTCAGCATTTCTCAAGCTGACAGAACTGAAGGAAAAATTCAAGCCTTGAATTGTAATATTGAAAGATTTTATGGGCAAAATATTGAATGATGCAGGAAGCTTTCAAAAGGAAATGGAAGGGTGGAGGTGGGGCAAGATGGCGGACTAGGCAGAAGGATTGCACAGACCCTCTTCAACAAAGAAAAGGGAAACCAATTAATACAGACACAGAAGATAATCTTGGACCCCTGAGCCTTGAAGGAAAGGATGCAGATTTGGACTAAACCCCAACTAGCAGAAGAATTTGCGTGAA